TAATCCTAGTTAGTTTTATTTGCGTTTTAGTCGCGTTTTAAACACATCACGATTTTTTTGACTAAAATAACATGTTGAAAACGAAAAATAATGTTGGTCCATTTAAAAGGGAAAAAAACTTTTACTTCCCGTATAAAACATATTTTCCCATATTTTATAAAAAAATAAAAACATGAATTGACCAATTGAAAGAATGCATTAAATGCATAGGAGATCAACAATAGTTTAAAAGTAAAAATGAAAACTTCTTCTCCGTGATCAAGTGTTTTTGTATGCTCACAATGCAATGCAAATATTAAATACTAAATTTAATTGCATGGCAAGTGACAACTAAAGCTAGCATCCTAAAAGCCTTAAACTTAAAATAGTAATACTAGATTTTTTATATTTTTTCAAACAAGCATATCAAAATTAAGGTTTTTCTTAACCTGACATTTTTTAGTATAAACTTATACACATAAACAATAACAAGCATAGCAGTCACACAACTTTTCTCATATGTCATCTGTCATCTTGATGAAAATGGTGAGTTTATTTAAGTGTTATTTGATGATCATATAATTAAAGATAATGATTATATTTTAACTTGGTCTCAATAAAAAATAACTTAGTCTCATTCTATTGTGATCATGCCTTATTTTTTTGACTTTATTTTGCAAAACTATGTCCTGGATTTAATTACTATTTTTCGTTTTGTGATCGACTTATGCAATTACAAATTATTCTTTTATGTAGTAATGAGATTTGCTACTTGAATACATGTGCACTTTTATTTCTTCTTACTATATACTCCGTATGTTATTTTGTAAAATATATAATTTAAATGTTCACAAAAATACCCGTTTTTTGTCCGAATTTTTGTAACAGATAACGTATTTTACATGTATACATATTTACACGTTTTGTAAAAATCAACGTTTTTTTCAACGAATTTTTGATCATTTTCTGTTGATATTAATTAGTTTTGTTGATGACTAACCTATTTGTGATTTATATCTATGTGCATGCGTGACACTATTGGCTTGCATAAATTGACAAAGAAAAAGTACTCCACCTTTAAGGTAAGAAATTATCTTCAACCAAATAATAAACGTGGCATAATTTGAGGAAAGTATTATCAAAGGAAAGTCACTTTCGAAATGTCACATGACTTGAATAAATTGATATTTGAATTTGATATATGCTTTTATATGCTTACCATTGAAAAGCCATGCCTTTTATAAAAGGAAGATCGTTGCATGCTTTTGAGCAGTATGCTATCAAAGGAAAAAGCCTCTTTAAGTAAAGTCACAAATCGAATAAATCCATATATGCCAAGTATTGTATTATGCGAAGATTTATTACTGCCTTGCCAATTATTCATTGTCTTGTAAAGAGCTTGGTTGACCGGAGTATCAAGATGGAAGGTGTTTAAATTATTTCAAGGCAAGTATCAAGATTGATTTCGAGAGATAAAGGCTCCAACGGATTAATTCTGAGGTCTCCTATATAATCGAAGTAGCTGAAGAGAAAATGTGAGCTTGACTAAGAAAACTACAAAGAAAAAATCACTCAGAAAAGGATCAAGTCCATAGCGCCTGAAACTGCCTACACGGAGTTCTAGATAGAGTTTCTTTACCATTATCATATTGTATTTGGGATATTGAGGTGTAGCTAAGTGTAGCTGCCTCGGGTTGGGTTGTGTGTGTGTAAGAGCTTTGTGATAAAGCTGAGAGGCTCTCTACCCGCAAGGTAGAGATGCATAACTCTTCCTAGAGAGGATAGAGTTGGGGAGGCTCAAGGGTAGATTAGGAGAATCACTCTTGTAACTCTTTCAAAGGCTTGTTTAGTGAAGTTGTTTAAAATTCCTCCGAGGGAGATCGAGGTTTTTTAATCCCTTTGAGCCAAGGGATTTTTCCTCGTTAAATTCTTGTGCACTTTACTATTTTGCAATTCCCTTTATCCCACACTAGAACTCGGCGAAAAACTGCCACGGTTCCACAGAAACACAATTCACCCCCCCTCTTGTGTTGCTAACCGTTTTCATCATTTTCTTCATTCATGTTACCGTATAAAACACGCACGTATTAAACCTCGTTTAATTCCCGTACCGTATTTAACTAAATAGGCTAGTAATGTTTGGTCATGTACCTATGCATTTTATGTTTTTAATAATCATTTTTATGTGGAATACTACAATTGTGAATGTGTTTCGCTTTTATGATTAAAACTTGTGATGTAGTTCAACTGTAAGTTTGTGATACCGTTAAATTTTATTTGGTAAATATTTACATTTTTTCGTTGAGTGTTGATGGGAAAAAGACAAAATGAGGAGAATGTTAGACAAAACGCTCCAAAGTTTAAACGGTTCGATGGTTTTTTTTTATACAAAATTGCTTGTGGTTTAAAATGTCTTAAGAAAGATTTATTGGATTAATAATAATATTGAGCATAAAATGTGTTAAAAAAGTTTAATTATGAAGCTATATAGTTGATGCTTTATTTTCATATTACTCAGTAAGAAATGCACTTAAATATATTGTCATTTGTTTTTTAGCTTTTATGAACTTTAAGTTTAAGATTCCTCGTCTCTCTTCCGCTTTTCAGCTTCCTCTACCTCTGCTTGCGCGTTTGCACGCAACAATGCTTCCTCGTGTGAGGTCGGAAGCTGACGTATGAAATCTTTGTATAACTCACCCGACCTCAGAGCGTTAGTGAAGATGGCCACAACAGATTTATCATCCAGGTCATGTACCTTCACAGACTCATCTCTCCAGCGGACTAGGAAATCAACCAGGCTCTCCTGATGGGCCTGCTTGATTCCCAAGAGGTGAGAGACACTCCTTTTGGAATCCTTAGAGGTGGCGAAACGTGCCACGAATGCACGAGCCAATTCTCGAAATTTCCGTATGCTTCCATCGGGTAAAGAATCGTACCATTCCCGGGCTGGCCCATCCAAACCGGGTCACCGAGAATCCTCTACACTTGATGGCATCATCATATCCCATCATAACCATATAAGCTACGTACCTGGAGACATGATGCTGAGGGCCGGTTTTTCCTCGGTAGGCCTCAATGTTGCATGACATGTACCCTTGGGGCAGTGGTACCTCCATTATCTTGCGAGTAAAGGGCTCAGGAATCCTGACCTCGTGGTTGAGGTTGCCCCTTCCATCCATCTCTCTTCTGAGCTCGTCCAGTCTCCTCCTGAGGTCGTCATTGTTGTGGTCTGCCTAGGCACGCAGTGGAGATCGACGATCCCTTCGAGCCTGCCTATTCGCTTTAATCTCGTCTCAGAGATCTCCCCTACTCGCACTGCGGCGGCGGGACGAAACGGCGGCCGAAGATGCCTCCTCACTGCGATCTGCTCTAGAGGAGAGCCTCTCATGAACAGAAACTCTTTGTTCGCTCATCCGATTCACCACAGGGATCCTTGGGGTCACCCTAGAATGGTGGGAGCGCTGAGACCTGGCCGGTGGAGAATTCCCTCGATGATGAAGAGAGACTTCCCCCTCCCGCGGGACTATGGATGGAGCCCGGGGAGGTGAAGGAGGTCTCCCATTAGTATCAGAAATGATACCTTGGAACGCCATAGTCAAGGTCTCCACCGCCCTCTGGAATGTTGCTAAACTCGCCAAAGCATGCGTTGGATCAACGTTGGCAATGTTGTGGCTCGTCCCCGGTGTTTGAAACTGTGGCGGTCGCGCCGCTGTTCACTGGGAATTTCCAACCACTACAAGAAAATAGGAGATTTACCCACACTCGTTTGTGTTGGTAAAACAATAGGTATGTGTGGCTATTAATTTTTACCCACACATATTATAAGTGTTACGAAGTGTGGGTATGAAACTGTAGGAAAATGTTATTAGCTACACTTACAATTATGTGTGGATAATATTATTATCTATAGCTACACATGTATGTTTAACTAAAACACTTCGAAATGTGTTGTTATTGGTCATTCCAGCATAGAACATGTGACATGGCATATGACGCGGAAGTACACGTGGCTGCTGACGTGGCTGCTGATGTGGAAAACTGGGTATGACGTGTATGATGACGCGGCAAATTTGATGACTCTTGGCCGCTGCCACGTGGACATAAAGATGTGTGGGTAAAACTTATGTGTATGTGTGGGTAAAGTGTTTTTTAAAAGTGGGTAATCCGACTTCTTTGTAGATAAAAGTATATTTATTTGTGGGGAAAACTCCTACGCAAGTGTAGCTATTAATATTTATATATTGATAGAACCATTTCATTAAATATTCTATTTATATATTAAATATAATATCAAACAATTACATTTAATAATAATGAACATTGAAATGATTCAATGAATAATAAATAATAACTATTAATATCATAATTGAAACTAAAGTATTCAATTTCAACAAAGTATTAGATATTCAAATACCGTCAGCCAAAATAAAACATTAACTAGCTAGTACCACACGTACTACAAAGTATTAGGTCTAATATGAATTTTGCTTCTACACAATATCATCATATTCACAAGTCGAGTCCTCATAGCCGTCAACATGCTGGCCTCGACCAATCGAAGATGACCCACGATTATGCGCACCTGAACAATGATCTGAAGGAATATGTGACATGGGAGGCATAATATTCTTCTCAATTAACAATTTTTTCATCATTTCAACAGTGCCTGAAAGTTCTCCAACACGATCCAACAGTTGAGTATAAGTTGGAATATTTGAATCACCTCTGCTTCTTTTAGACCTAGTGGGAGACCGTCCCCAGCCAAATAGACGAACAGATTCTCGTCCGAGCACCTTCTCTAATATTTGTTTATCAGTTAAATCTTCAGGTGATTTTTCTCTTCTCATTTCCATCATTTCTTCCTGTTAACTTATGAATGAAATAGTAACAATTCATTAATGGAGTAAACTATTAATATAAGAACATGTATGTATATTGTGTCAATAATGTAAAACTAGTTAATTTGAATACGAGATTCCATGGTTAACACATGGTTTGTGAAGTACACTTACATATTTAGATTCGGCTTCTGTAGATACCCAACCACGTTCTGGATGCCAATGACGGAGACACCACGTCTCAATATGACCAACATGAGCATTTAACTCAACCCCGCGACTAGTGTGATGACGTGATGTACTTTTAGAACCTTTTCTAGAAGTCCATTTTCTTTTCTTACATGATTCAGCATTCTGCAAAGCCCTTTGCTGTAAAATAAACGCAAGTAATTATTATAACATTTACACATTGTCCAGGGGCGGATCCAGAAATGAGAGGTGGGGTGGGCTAAGCAGTAAAAAAAATGTTATATACATACAAGGTTTAACCTAGGCATGTTACCGTATTGAGCTTTTTTCGAACTATATACTCAAGTTTGAGCTTGATTTTGAATCTAATTTAATGTTTCGAGCTTCATTAATGAGCTTTGAACTCGAACACGAATTAGGTTTTGAGTTTGAATAATTATTCAAATTGAGTTTGATCAAAGTGATGTTCACTTATAAATTATAGAAATAAATTATACTACTTCAGTTCTTTTTTAGTTACAACAATGATGAATTTGACACTTTTCACATACTTCACTTTGACTACATTTTATTTCTTAATGTATTATAAATTAATTTTTTGAGTCACATATTTGTTAAATACTTCTCGTTTTAAACTTTCAAAATCTATTATTTTAAATTTTTCATTAATAAGAAGCCAATACAAACCTCTTACTAGCACACAAGAACACCCGACCAATGATTGCGGAGAATATAGATCTGGCCAGCGACATTGCGCCACCGAAAATAAAATCTCTAGACAACGCTAGGAAATAAACGTATAGATAGAACTGAAAACACTGATTAAACGAAATTTTTTCCATGATTGAAGTCGAAAGAAGAGAAGAAGAGAAGAAAAGAAGAGAATAAGAGGAGGAGGACGAGGAGGCTAGGGTTTCCCGTCACCGCTCCTCTCGGCACTGCTATTTCTTGTAGTGTATTTGTAATAATCAAATAATCAATTGGATTAACAATATTTCACAAAATAATACAATGTTTAAAAAATAATACAATATAATGTTTAATCAAGAAAAAAATGTCTAAAAAGAGTATTAGAGTATACCCACTTCCGCTGCTTCCAAACTTCCTCGAGTTCGCACTAGGAGGCCGCCGATTTGCTTGAGTGGAATTGTCTCGTATTAGGCTTGGGCTGGGCTGGGGATTAATTTGGGGCTGGACTGGACATTTGGTCTATACCAATACTAATTAAAAAATAAATATTTGGGCTGGGCTGGAGCCCAGCCTTGCCCACACTATGATCCGCCCCTGACATTGTCAACAATAATTGAACATAACATCAAAACATGAATAATAGCTTTACAATGACACCGTAATGAATAAAGGAACTGATGCATCTTGCCGTTTTTCTCAAAATAAACTATGAAACATGCTATAGAAAAGAAACTCCTATTCACTACGTTTATTACTACAGTAAGCTTTAAGACTTAAATATGCTTTCTTCAAAAAAAAATTAAAAATTCATCAACTGCAGCAAATCTTTAATTTTACCAGATATGAAGGGTCGCTCCAACAATTACATAGATATTCCCAATCCAGTTTGCTAACACCCTCATAAGGCTTACTCTTTGCATTCGTTATATCACCTGCACCTCCAACTGTTTTAAAATGGTCACGTAACGTACGTCTATAACTATGCCATGCTCTTTGCATTTGCCTATCAATAGCTTTTCTGACATTTGCATCTTCCAAATCAACATCAAATAATGTCTGCATAACAAAGAGAATAATAAGTATAATTAATGATTATATGAAAGCAAAAAACATACCAAGTATAATAATGGCAGCTGATGTTATAGTCGCAAGCCAGGGTGATTTCTTCGCTGTCAGGACATACAAGAAACTCCTACTAGTACATTTATAGGCACAACTCTGCTATTAGGTCAGTACCAGTTAACCAGCCGAATGTAACTGATTTATATAAACGAATGCATGAATGTGAGTCATATCTGTGCATATATCTAACTACTACAACAAAAATATGTAATCTTGAAGCATGTCTATTACACACCGACACACACATATAAAGTAAATAGAATAAAGCATAATATGAGTCTAAGAGCATAACTTACAATCATACAGATTGATAATAACAAACAGATTTACAGAAATAGACTACCAAAAACCCAAAAACAAAGAATATAACTACTACTATTTCAGACAATTTGATTTAAAGCTTGCCTTCTCGTTTTAGTCTCAAACTTTGGTAGCGTACAGCCTTACATTTTAAATACAGGTAAGGCTGAGTTAATAGACTGAATATCAGGAGGAGATTGAAGCAATTGTGCAGTACATATTCAAGGTCTATGTACTAGAAATGTTAATTACGATGTATACTTACCTGAAGTTTTTCACGAAGTGGTGCTCTTTCTTGTTCAGGTACATACCTCCATTCTTTGTACTTGAGGTCACAATGTGTACGCAGGATATATCCAACTTCATTATTGAAAACCTCTATGTTGTCACATATTGCTTGCATAAGATCAAAATCAAACTTTACCGTCAATCGTGAACAAACTTCATTATTGAAAACCTCTTCATTGCTTTTCGGGCACCTTTACTGCATGTTATTCCACACACATTTGAACCTTGTTCTGCGGATTCATTATTGGCAGATGAAACTTGAGTGCCGCTTTGAGTTTGTTCTGTAAATTAAATTACATTAAAATTTAAATTACAAACTTACAATCTACAGTCTTGTTTTTTGTCTGTGAGAAGGTAAAGATCCATTAACTCCAGTTTCTGTTTTCAAGACCTAAAATATTTCAGCTTTAAATTTTCTTTTCATAGCTTCATATTTCATTATATGCTATCAAGTTACATCACATTCACATACAATTGAGTTTGCATAAAAAAAACTAAAGATTTTGACAATTGACATGGACTTTTAACTTAGTTAAAGGAAGAAATAAATTAGCAGGCTAAATCCCAGAGAGTGTATTGAGGTTGAGGTCAAGGACAGTGAGACTATAAAAAAAACATGTTTATTTTACGAATTCTACAAAGCACTAGTACGTAGAGGACACACACATATATACATATAATACAAAAGACAAAAAGTAAATGAATAATTACTACTTATTGATATAACTAATTTAACCTGCTTGAATCTCTTCTCTTGCAGATTCATGTGCAATTGTATTACTGCTACGTCCACCTCTTGTTAAAACTTGAGTGTCTCTTAGAGAATGAGCTATTTAATTACATTATAAGGAATATTAAAATATTAAAATAAAGTATTGATATAAACATTTTTATAGTTGATTGAATAATTGATACATCCGTGTGATACATGTACTCGTATTAGTGTCTCTTAGGGAATGAACTATATATTTTTAAAATTAACTCATGAGAGATAAATAACAAATTTTATTAATTAATAGAAACACTGGTTACTTAACCTGTTTGATGCTCTTCAGTAGCATGTTGATTTTCAATAGAAATCCTACTACGTCCAACTTGTGCACCATATCTACCTCTTTTAGAACTAGCAATGGGAACCCTGCACCAAAGATTCAACAAAGAACTAAAAGCACGCCAAAGTGAAACTATGATATACACTTCTGAATAAGTTCAAACAAAAATAACCTAAGACTAAATTTATGTCATGCCATGGTGTCATCGTCACTGATATTTAGTTCTAGTGCATCAAAATCTTTGTCACTCTCAGACTCTAACATCATTTCATTGTAAAAGAAAAGCTCTCCATCGTCAAGATCATAATCTTCATCTTCTAAAGAATCCTCATTTTGGATATGCATTGACGTTTGATCCCGCAATTGTTGGACAACCTCATTGGATAATGCCATTGGTTCTACATCTTGTCGAACTAAAAGAGGTGCGTCATCAATTTCTTCTATTGGATGAAAAGATGGTAACTCACTAGCATCTTCTTCCTGAAAGATGTCATCGCTAACATTCACATTAGCATCATGCTCTGGTATATCATATATGCAACATTGATTTACTTTTTGTACAACCATCCAACTCTTGCCTAAAGCTCTATCATTTAAATAAAAGACTTGTTGAGCTTGTGTGGCCAAAATAAATGGATCTTCGGTGTACCACTGGGATGATGTGTCAACAGATGTCAGGTTATAATTAACCACCATTGTTCTCCCCTTTGGATCAGTATTATACCATTTGCAACGGAACATGAAAACTTTCCTCCTAAGGATGAAATCAAGTTCTAAACTTTCAAGTAATACACCGTAATAAATGGTATCACCCTTATCATCTCCGGTGCAAATTACGCTACATTGTGTCTTGAACTTGTTATCACGTTCTTTGCATCGAAACCTAACACCATTGACTATACAACTTTGCCAAATTGTGTAATGATCATCCAGTGATTGCGATAAAGAATACAGATCATCACTAGCTTTAAGATCACCATTTACTCTAAGTGTAGCCATCTGAAAACCCAATATTAAAATTTTAAATTGGTCAAGTTAAAAAAAAGTTGATTTATACTTTATATAATCAATAGGTTTTACCTTTTTCTTGAACCAAACAGGAAATTCACGTTTTTGAATATTGTCCCATTCTTGTGCACATGAGCTTGTCAAGCAAATAAGTTCTTAGGCTCTCTAAAGTGAAGAACAAGTTAATTGTAATTTCAAATAAATTAAAAATAAGTAGAAATGAAATTATAATGAAAAACTCACTTTATGTAATCGTCAAGCTCAATTCCACAATTGTTAAGAAGGTACCATTGCACCACATTCCCATCTAATCCTAGATTTCCAAACTTAGGAGCCCCAAGTGTTCATATCTTGTGGTTAAACACGTCCATCTTATAGTCTTCACTAGAGAGGTCCCAATTGCGCTCTGGGCGTGTAAATCTTGTTTCAATATCAGTTAAATATCGAGATAAGAATGTAATAGCCTCATCAACCACGTAAGCTTCAGCAATAGATCCATAGGGCCGAGCATAGTTACGCACATATCCCTTATAAGTACCCATGCGCCGTTCAATTCCAAACATCCATCTAGGAGGAACTGGACAACCCAATAATGCTTGTTCTGGTAAATGCACGCACAGGTGAACCATGATTGTAAAAAAGGACATTGGAAAAATTTGTTCAAGTTTACACAATATGATCACAATCCCAGTTTTCATGTCCTCAAGTTCGCTAACGTATAAGGTGTTTGTGCATAACTTCTGGAAGAATTGGCAGAACTCTATAAGTGTGGTACGTATTTTCCTATCAAAGAATGCAAGAATTGCCACCAGCAATATCTTTTGAAGCAATACATGACAATCATGGGTTTTCATTCCTCCAAGTGTATTTGCATCTGTGGCACATCGACTAATATTGGAAGCGTAACCATCTGCAAGGTGAATACACTTGATAAAGTTGCAAAACTCCTTACAATCATCTTTAGTCAAGGTATATTTTGCATGGGGTTTTTCAAATTTTCCATTTCGTTCCCTCAACCACAACTCCTTGCGAATGTTGTGATCTTCCAAGTCAAGACGTGCGTTCACAGTATCCTTTGACTTTAGAGGATCATTCAACAAGGTCCCAACAATATTATCGCATACATTCTTTTCTATATGCATTACATCAAGATTGTGGCGCATCAACAATTTAGACCAATAAGGGAGTTCAAACAATATGCTCTTTTTGGCCCAATTCAATTCATTGGTTCCACGTTTGCGTTTCTTATCTTTATTGTTCGGTGCTTTTCCTGGTGTTGCATTATGAACCTCTTTTAGCTGTTGTAAAATGTCATCCCCAGAAAATTCTCTAGGCGCTCCTCTTCTCTCTGGCTTGCCATCAAATCCCCTATTCTTTCTCCAGCGATGTGTATCACTTGAAAAACATCGATGCCCTGTATATCATTGTTTTCCTCGAATTCGTTTCCACCTGGTGTCCTCGAGGCATATAGGACATGCCATTCTTCCCATAGTGCTCCATCCAGACAAGTAAGCATAAGCAGGGAAGTCACTTACAGTCCATAGAATTGCTGCCAAGAGATTAAAATATGATTTAGAATACTCATCATATGCATCAATCTCATCTCTCCATAAAATTTTAAGTTCATCTACAAGAGGCCTAAGAAACAAATCAAAATCCTTACCAGGCAACTTCGGGCCAGGAATTAATAATGCTAAAAGATAGTTACTTTTATGCATCATACTCCAAGGCGGCATATTATAAGGCATCAAAATTACCGGCCACAAAGTATGTGTTGTTGACATATTACTAAATGGGTTAAACCCATCAGAGGCCAACCCAATTCTAACATTTCTCGAGTTCGCAACAAAGTCTGGATATAACTCATCAAAGTGCTTCCAAGCCTTCCCATCAGCTGGATGACGCAGAACCCCTGGCTCTTCCTTACGCACTTCTTTATTATGCTAGCGCATGTCTCTTGCTGTGTGACATGAAGCATACAGACGTTTAAGTCGAGGTCCCACTGGGAAGTACCGTAGCCTCTTATGTGGAATCTTATTACGAACATATCGATCACATTTACATATAGGACATGTAATTAGGCTAATCCCGTTAAGGGTTGATCTCGTTTATGGGCCGATCCTGTTAATTAGGCTAATCCCGTTAAGAGCTGATCCCGTTATGGGCTGGATTATGTAATTGGGTCATGATCAGAGTCCATGGTACCATCAATATTATACCCATTTTTTCTTATA